AGCCCTAAGGATCATTTCCTCCGTGGCCTTCCTGCAGCATCCCCTGTGGGTAGATACCTAGTGCTCACACCCGGAACTTGATGCACCACCAGTTGGTGGCCAGAACAGCTGCCAACCTTTGGGCTAGACATGGGCTTGAACCTCAGATTTTGCAGTGCTCCAGCTTGCAGGGTGTTTGGGGTCAGCCCAGTCCATTAGAGGCAGAGGGATCCACTAAAGTGTGGGCCTGATTTGATTTCAGAGTGTGGCATTTGGGGCATTTGATATGGAGCCCCGGTCTATAGCCCGGGCCCCTCGGCGCTCATGTGCTGTGCAGTGAGAGGGCTTGGCAGCAGGGCCCTGGTGGCATCAATGGTAGGAGAAAAGCTGGATCATGTGACCCAGTGCAGCTCAGGAACCGAATGGCAAAGAGAAGGGACAACACGTGATGCTTTGATAAAATTGCCTTAGGGCTGCCCATTCTGGGAGAGTCCTTTGGAGCCCAAAGGCAGCAGCCTGGGTTCAGGCAAACTGGATTCCAGCCTGGCCATTGCTACCAGGTTTGAACAATGAGGAGCCCTGTGGCATCGAAAAGAGCAACAGATTTATTTGGGCATAAGCTTGTGTGTGTAAAACCCCGGGAATTAACACCCAAATGACTTCTAGTCTCTAAGGTGCCACCGGACTCTCCTTGCTTTTGCAGATACAGGCTAACATGGCTTCCCTCTGAGCCGTGTTACAGGTTTGAAGCAGTCGGAGTCAGCAGCAAAGAGCCACGAGGGGGGCTGCTCTGTCCGGGTCCACTTGGAGCGGGGAAAAGGCTGAGGTAAAAGGTGCTTGGGACACATCAGCTTTTTCTTATCATTAGGGCCACACGTGGCAAGGGAAGGTGGAGGGTGGGAAACCCTAAGAGACACAGAAGCCACCAAATTCTGCTTCCCAGCATCCAGCAGTCGGAGTCAGCAGCAAAGAGCCACGAGGGGGGCTGCTCTGTCCGGGTCCACTTGGAGCGGGGAAAAGGCTGAGGTAAAAGGTGCTTGGGACACATCAGCTTTTTCTTATCATTAGGGCCACACGTGGCAAGGGAAGGTGGAGGGTGGGAAACCCTAAGAGACACAGAAGCCACCAAATTCTGCTTCCCAGCATCCATG